CTTCGCAAGATTTAGAGCGTTTTCAGCGATTTCTTTTGCTCTTTCCTTCACTGCTATTTACTTACTACCGCGGGTTTCACCCAAATTTTCTTTCGTGACATCTAGCGTTGCTTCGTACAGCACTCCTAGCACTGAAGCTTCCTCATCGATCGGAAGAACCATCTCATTGATCCATCGTTATCGATTAGTGGGTTCAAGACTCCAATTTTTTTCAATTTTTCTATGAGAGAAATATTGGTGTAGGAACATTTGCTCAGGGCAAGGTCAAAGGGACCGGTCAAGGTTCAGGTAGCTGTCGTCCTTGTTTCGCCTCGCCCTCTCTCGTCTGAGGAACCTATCGCTCCTCATTTGTTGTCACTTGTTGACCTGCTGCTTCCCGACGTTCTTTCATAATGATAGATAAGTGTTTCCCGTTCAGAACCATTCAATTTCCGAGGCTGAAACCCAGACAGCAATAGCTGGATTACTCGTGGCTGAGGGTTGACGCGGCAATCGAGCTGCTCGTCATGGAAAGATTAACGTCTTTGGCGGAACAACAGGATAGCGCTGGTATTAAGGTCTCAGATCCCTCACCTCCCTCGGGATCAGGTGGCACACGAGACAGATGAAAAGTTGGACGTCATCCAGCTACTTTGAGATGCGCCATGTAATTTTAGTGATAGCCTGTTTTTCGTAAGGAAGGGCTGGTTAATAAAAGCACCCGCTAGCCAAATAGGAGAACAAGTTTCTCTGGTCAAAATATCGCCCCCCCCCCCAATCACTTTTTTTAGTCGGAATGGGATCTCCTACCGAGGTAGAGTACAGTGGCCACAAGCCAGTTTATGGAAAACCCGCGTTTATGTGAGGGTTTGACAGAGTCAAGCATGTAGCGCGAAATCTGCGGACGACACAAGGTCACATTGAGGGAGGGGACGGGGTTTTGAGTTAAAAGGTCAGTACTGAACAAGGTTGAAACAAGGTTTCGTTAAAGAATGACTCGAGTGCGAGAAGAGATGTGGTGCACCCTATGGGCTAGTTCTTCGTGATGGTATAACACACTGAGTAAGGTCGTCTGATATGATTGAGTCTAGAACGGGTCTGCACATTAGGGTGACTATTTCAATGTACGAATCACACCCCCGCCCACTTCCCCTTCAGTTTGCTCTTATCGATAGGAACTTTCTACAAAACATCTCTATCTACAGGCAACTAGCCACAGCTTTCCCTACCGGCTCTCCTCGCAGTGATCCAAATATGCTCTAGTATGCGAGATCTTCAAAATGGCGAATGGTCCTATCGTTGGAATGCTGTAAGGACCCGCCCTGGATCTTCCACGCTTTTTCAAAGGCATAAGGCACGATAATTTGGTACTCAGTCTAAAATGGTAACAGGGGTGCTGTAGGGAAAATGGCATTCAGCGAAGTGAAATGGTCATAAACCTGCAGAAAAAGCTCTTTTGTTATAACAATCGATCTGAAGCGATTTGGACGAGTCTTCGTGCCAATACCGCTGACGGTCGGTACGGCTGCATGTAGACACTCATATTTCCGTGCAAGCAATCGCGGTCGCTTCATATTAATGCCCTTCGCTATGTTGCTTCGCAAATGAAACGGTAGCGCTAGCATCAGCATCGATCGACATTTGGGCGGTCGACGCGGTGGCGTCCGGGTCGGTAATGTGCAGCGTTATAATGGTCCTTCTCCTTGGAAAAAGCGCTACGCACCGCCCGCTCAAGGGCTCTGAATTCTGTCCTGCCAGGCGTGTTAATTGTACATTATAATTTATTATATTTTTTTTCATTTTTTCGGGGATTCATCGTGCCACTTGCGTGTTCCCTGAGGTGGGGGGGCATCCGATTTCGTGTGAGCTAAACCTTACACTGTGACTCCAAACTTTTCGGGCACTCTGCTAACCCCTACTCCCCTAGGTCCCCATATTCTAGTGTTCTGAATAGCTTCAGTGTTCGAGCCAGATACACCCCCACATAGGCGCTCGCGAGAATCGACGGGTTGCTCGTTTGACTCAGTGAAAGCGGAAATTAAATCGTTTGTGATGCTGTGACGATGCTCTAGCGTGTCTAGACATTAATGGGACTCTTGGAATTGCTATAATCATGTATGCGTTAAATGCCACAACGATTACGGTAGCTCAAAGAAACTCATTGAAATTTCTAATCGACGTTCCATTTCACCTATACACCCCATCAGTGACGTATCCCGCACTCCCTCGGACGGCTTTGCACGGATATGTGGAGGATTATCGTTTTTGAGCTAATTAGCGATGCATTGCATCCACCCATACGTACATGCATATATCTTCATGTCAGTCTCTCGACTAATTCGTTTCTCAGCTCCGATTAGGGTTCTTTTTTGGGGCACTATCCAGTGGGTGGTAACCCAGGGGGATCAGGTTATATTCACAGAAGCTCCACGGTCACACCGCTGACTTGCTGCTCTTAATTTATCGCCTGCTCCAACTCATTTCACTTGTATTGGTCCGATTTATTTACTTACTTTTTATTTATTGTCCTTGTTTACTACTATTGATGGTTTGCTACTTTTTTGCCACAGTTCGCAGTTTGAAAAGCACGAGCGCAGCTCGGCTTTACCCATGTTTTCTGCCCACAGTTAATCGTTCTTGTGATTTTTATTTAGTCATTTTTATTTGTTGTAGTAGGAATAGATACACTCGAATCCCTGAGATGAGGTAGGCCGTGGTTGCGTACTCAACTAAAACGTCAGCTGGTAGTTTAGCTTTGGATATTTCATTTTAACCCAAATGTGGTGCACGTCTTTCTCGTCCAACAAGAGCGGTTGTCTCAAAATGAAAATCCCAACTGCAGGAGCCAGTCTGTGCAATGTTCGAAATTCTCACGCCTACCCCGTATCACAGGGTTAAGGAGGTATAACAATGGTTTGCTTTTAAACTATTACTATTCGGCCCGATGGATCGTTTGTAAACACATTTATTCGTCAAGTTAACCTAAAAGGCTTATACATCATCCGCTCTGGAAATGTTCCGGATCGGTATGCGTCTACAAAACCAGACATTTGTGATGAGACCGAGGTGCGGCGTCGTTGCCGTGAAACACATAGGGGCTCGTTATTTTGGTTGTTGTTAGGGAAAGGTTGGAGTCGTAAGTGGCTTTGAGCGGAATTTGCCGCGCTGGAAACGAACATTTGTTCCGGTTGCTGACATTTCGGGTGATTTCCTTGTTTCATGCTATATACACTTCTCTTTCTCCTCTAACCCCACCCCCCCGGTCGACAGCAGCAAAATTTCAGTAGCAAGCAGGAAATCATTCGGGAGTTTCGAAAGAAATGTGGAAGTTGGGGAATAATTCCAGGAGGTTTTCCCGTTCCACATAAGCCGGTATACCCCTCCTTCCGTCGACGGAAAATCTTGGGTGAAAAAATTGAAAAATGTAGAAGTTGGTAGGTTATGGTAGGTAGGTGTTGGGGAGGGGGAAAAAAGTGTACGACGAGCGCCTTATCCTAGGTGAGGAGGATGGCCGGGCGGGGGGTCGTACCTGACATCACCATTCGCACATCAGATGCTGCACCCTGCATGAGACTGTTGCGAAACGTTTGGAGCCTCGTTGGGCTACTATAAACCTTCGAGAAATTTGTGCCAATAAGGGCCAATCCGGCGCCATACAGTTCTTCGCCAAGTTTTGGTGCTAACATTGTTTTTGACAGCTACTATTTCACGCATGACATTCACTCTTGCGCCGGCAGCGGATCTGCGCTTGAAGACCTGACCGCCGCGCTACGCCTGAGGCTGCGCGTCGGGCCTGGAGGCCGAATCACTCCTCCTCCCTAGGCGTCAGGCTTAACCACAGCTAGTAGCAACAAATCGACTGCCCGTATTTGTGATAAGGGCATCGGTGAAAAAAGTTCAGAATCTTGGGTATAGATAATTGTTCAGTGTACCCAAGCGGATGAAAAAGGTTTATGATTCTTAACAGTTAATTTTATTAAATTCAGGCCTGAGCGAAAATCGTCAAATCCCCTGTGTATTACGTCCGCTTAAGTGATTGCGCGTTGGTCTTTTGACATGCCCCAGTTATCTCGATGGATTGTCTCCAACAGCACTGGAAGAACATCGCCGTGTCCTCGTTAACCTACCCTCTTCTGACCTTCTAATCCAATGGGAATACAATCAGTCCTCCTTTTTTTCATCGGCCTCTCCTAAACCTAATTACCGCCGCTGTTGTCGGCCGACAGGGGGTGGGTGGGGCAATTTTGCCTCGCCTACTTCGCGCATCGACGGTCGACCTATGTAGACAGCCTCTTCTGAGTTGACAGGTTTTACGTGATGGCTTGACGCTTGCTCCAGCTTCACAAGAGTTCACAGGTTTCACCAGAGTGAGACTTGTAAACCGGAACTAGGAAGCAATGATAGTACAAAATGCTCCCCCCCCGTCGCCGAACTGCGCCCCTATTACCCCAAGTCTCTAACAATAGTCGCTTTGAACTCTCGATGCTGAAAGTCTAAACACATGGCTCAGTGAAGGAGCTCTAAACTGGGTTATCGACTGGCCCAGCTATTAACTTTTTATTTCTCATATGCATTTGAAATTAATGAGTCGAAACGGCGGATGTTGGGGGCGTCGCGCATCGAACGTTTCCCTTCAGAGGGAAATTTTAAAAAGGCTATTCAGTCCGTTCCTGCCTCTTTACTGTACTTGTGGATCAGCTGATAGCCTCTCAGCGCTGTATGAAGAACTTGGTCGGGTTGTTCCCCAACTTCTTAGGCCATATGGCTCAGTCATTACTTTTTGTTGGACAGCGATATTCTAGCCGTTAATAGCTCATATTCTTACTGTATCCAGCATAATTTTACTGTTTTGTAATAGTGTTCATTGTTTTTTGGTAGAATGTTTATAGCTCGCTGTCAGGTGTCGGTCAGGAGATCCATATTGTGGCGTTGAAGTGAAAGCGGCACCACAACGAGGCTCTGACCGTCACCCTTGCTACCACTTGCCCTCTTCTAATTGATCGATAGCTATGCTTTCCAGAATGGGTAGCGACAGTTCAAAGCTACGCACATCAACTAGTGCTCATGAAAAACTGCCCTCTATTAGGTTACCCAGTTCGACCAGTTACTACGATGGCATGTATAGTAAGTTATATTTATCTTGCTGATTCATTTCTTAAGTATATCGTGGGTTTTAATCTTTGGATTGAATCGTATATATAGCTGACTTATGATCTAAGACGGTGTTTGCCAGGTTAGTCAGAGTTCGTAGCCTGTTTTCTAGGCCAGGTGGTCTTAAAATAAGATTTTTTGCCTTGAGATTCCCGTTTTGTGAAATTCTTTGATCCCCTTGACGGTCCCAGGCGATGCGCTCGATTCAGGGAAGGGGATAAGTTTCTACCAGAGGATGAAATTTAGAAAGAGGGTTGGGTGCCAGAAATTTTCCCCGACGGCAGGTTATGCCCTGGTGAGAGTAGAAGGGGAGTAGGCACAAATCGCGTAGGGTGAGCGGATCTGGGCTTGGGCAGGGGGGGGGGGGAAGAATTCAGCATTTTTGCTAATTTCCATCGACGTGTCGACCCATCTAGAGAGCCATTTCGTGGGCTCACAATAGTTGACAGATTCTGCCGTAGTGGCTAGACGAGCTTGTTCCAGCTCACAAGAGTTCACAGGTTTCATCAAAGTGACACTTGTAAACCAGAATTAGTGAAGCAGCGAAAAAGCAAAATGCCACCTCTCCCCGTCGCCAAACTGCGCTTTGGGCTTATCGGGATTTTGCTGATCTTGAAGAATAAATACCGCGTCAAAAAAGTCGTGCTCAACTAATATGACAGTTCAGAGACTCTTTCTCCTCTTCCACTACCTAGTGTTAGCCCAGCGCCATTCTGAAGCACCTGCTGCTTGCTTCTTGCTTTACAGGACTATTGCTCGTGGCAGATCCAAAACAGAAGCGTTGGAGGGATTGAGCCTTGCTAGGTTCGCTTGGAGCGCTCCCGTTGCTGCCTAATGTGTAATATATAGACTGCTTGGAAGGCGCACTGCACGCCATCGCATTGTGATAAAGTTCTGCAAAATAAGCCCCCTAGTTCCATCCTCTGATACGATCCTCCCCCCCCCCATCACTCATCTACCTTACTACTTTGAGCGCTTCCTAGAATTTTCGCCAACTTTCTGCCACTTTTTCAAGTTGTTTCCGCTCGAACGATTTCTAGTTTTTTTCGCCAAGTCTTTTGCTGTCGCAGGGAGCGGGAGGTCGTGTCACTCAACTAACTAACTCATTTCAACCACCGAAATAGCGCTTAGAAAACCTGGCGGCGCCACCACTAGGGGGTCTGCTGCTCGACAGTCTGGTTTCCAACTGTATATACGTAACCTTGCCAGTTCTACCCTGCTTGGGTGTTCGTACTATCGAACTAAAGCGCTTAACGTTGGGGAAATGTACTGTAAATACGTAGGTAAGTTGCCGTACGGAAGGATTCGAGTGTCGGGTGAGGGAGAAGGGGTCCTTCTGGCAAGGCCATCTCCTGCATTCCAAAGCTCTACCTTCTATTTGCTAGTTGATGCGAGTCGAGAATGTGCCGGAAAATTACTTTTGAAGTACTGAAGAAAACATGGAATTTTTTCTGTATGGTAGCTCAGCGAGAACTAAAAAATGACCCAATTCGGGTCTTCAGAGCAAAAACAAGAACAAAAATTACCATTATTGCAGAAAACTGTGATGCAATAAGTCGAACGGGCAGTTCCAAAAGTCGCAGTGGTGAGAGACATCCGCTATCGGTGAAGATGCGACGGCTGATTTCGGTGGGTTAATTAGCTCACTTTGGCTGGTTTGGCCACTCAACTCACACCTATCTGTTGGCGAATTTTGACTACTTTTCAATCCTTTTTCAATTTATTTTTTCGATTTCACCTTTTCCCCAACGGTTGACGAGTCTCAAGGGTGATAAACAGTTTGTGGTCCACTAAGTATTCATTTCCTCACCAATTAATCTTCTATACATCAGCTTTTTCATTCTCGATGTTAGTCTTCTTTCCGTTTCATTCTGAGAAACGGAACCCAATTAAAAAAAAACTAATCGAGGAGATTTCAGGAAGTAGGCAAAGGGAAGTGATTAGCTACGCCTCTCCTCCACTGAGCCTCGGGGAGGGAGGGAGAGGGGGGGCGGTGACTTACGCACATCCAACGTCGTCACAACCCAGGGCTCTGCTGATTCGGGGTTCCGGCCGAGAGGGATAGGAAATAGAGGTTGTTTGGCTCGAGGGGGGGGCGGGGAAGGCAGTCCCTGCTACTCGCTATGTTTCTTTCACTGTGAAGCTTCACAAAAAGTTCACAGGCCATACAGGGGATCGGCACATGATCGACGCGAAGGCGCAAGCAAAATGCCCACCAACGTAGAATTGCCCGACAAAGGTGGGATGGTCTACTATCGAACACAGGAGTGGATATGTGGAAAAGTTTGTCCCGTCAAGATTTTGAACTCGACACGCCTGAACGTGCAAAATAGCGCCTCTAGTCACTGCGCCATCTTCAATTTAATCTTTTCAGAGCTGCTTTGCGAATCCGCATGAAATGATTGGTAAACGAATAATGAAACGGGCATGTGACCTACGGGATGAATTCGCCACTTTCTACACCTCATTGGAATTGGAACAACGCGAAGAGTTGGAAGAGAACGTGAAGATCCTCTTGAAGAAGGTCGTCACAAATATCGATTTTGTCGATGAGGTTAGTGTAAACAGTTCACTAGTAGTACTCGCCTATAGTAATGGTTTTAGTGTAATGGCTAGAGCAGTTTTTTGGTGTCATGTTGTTTGTGATGAAGCGAAATCGGTGCTGTCGCGTTAGTAGTACTCTTGGAGGGGCATTTAAAAGACACCTTATGCAAAACTCAGAGAACTTAGAACTACTGTAATGGAAATCAGGACTCTTGCCTGGGTCTCAAGTGGCAAGCAGCACCGGCTGGATGAACCAAACTTCTCCAAAAGTTCCCCTCGGAGAGGGGACCTGGGCAACTCCGATAATCATAGTTAAAAATTTGCGAAAAGAAGAGGCTGAGAAGGAGTCACAGTGCGCAGGACATGGAAAAAACTGAAAATCAAAAAATTTTTCCCCAAGTTAGGTACGAACCCTTTTCCCTGAATCTCCAGCAATCGAATGAGGCCCGGGGATCCAAAAGTATGACGTGCCCTGAAGGTGATACATCTTCGCTGTAGCCCTGTTTGTATATACAGATCGCGCGACACCACGTGCAACGCCACTTTCGCCGCGTCACCGCAACACGGACTTCCTGATGCACACCCGTTTTTGATCTGTGTTTTGATGACAAAATTTACAAAATACAAAATTTATTGACAAAATTGACATTTACGTTACAGGTAACGCGACTGTCCGAAGAATTCGGTCAACGTTTCGTCGAACTACGTTCAATCGGCTTTCGACCCGATTATTTTGCAATAATGGCCGATGCCACCATTAAGGAATGTACACATTTGGATTCGGCCGTGCACAAAGCTCACACCACCACACAAGCCTTTTCCCAGTTTGGCGCACTGGTATGTTTCTCAGCTTTCAAGCTTTGTTTCCTTCGGAACTCATACTTCAATTCTGATTTCATCATCATAAAACTGTAAAAGAACTATTTAATACTGTACAACCTGAATTTTTCCGAGAGTCGTTAGGGCGACGTCAAGGTGGCGCACTGGCCTGTTAAGCTGTTCGGCTTGGGGGGACCGGGGAAGAGGGCATTTCATATTTTTGTTTGTTCCTTTTCTCAGTCGTTGTTGAAATGCAGGTTCATTTTTGTGAGACCTGTGAACTATTACAAAGCTACGGAATAGTGCAAGTGAGCTACGATTTGACTTACAAGTTTTCGCAAGACCTGTATGGGGGGGGGACCTTTTGGTGTTCCCACTGAGCCAAGCTGCGCCGGAGCAGTGCCTAGATATGCACTTTCACTCTTGTACAGTCCACAGGATTGAACCAGTCCTGACGATTTGACGTTTCGTTCATCCCACTATCCTCAGTGCTATTGAAAGCTTCCAATGACAATTAGTGGACTAAAAGAATATCTCCGACACCGATTGGACCCCTCTGGGCCATATGCGCATTCACATAGATCTATGGTTCTGAGTGGAAATTCACTTCGTTACCCGGTAGTGTTGATATCGTCGCAATCCGGCGAAGCGATCAGAAGGCGTCGAACGAGCGCGCCACAGCTTTTTCTGCCACTGGTTGTTTTCCACATGGAGCGGTCGCTATTGGTAGAAAGCGCAGCCGCAGATGGGCTAAGCTCTCCCCTTTTGACACCGTGGGTTGCGGCGACATCAACCATAGATTCGCTTGGAGGAATAAACAATAAGTTAGATGCAAGTGCTGGTTCATAACTGCGTCATAAGGTTCGATTTTGCCAACGAACAGAGTGGGTGTGGAACTGTAGTGGAAGGTCCACTGGCTAACTCGCTGCTTTCTGGATCCTCCAGAAAAACCAGAAGTAATCTCATCAAGAAACGCAGGAAAGTCCTTTCTATTCATCCATCCACCCCCTAATACGTTCGTTTGTAAGCTCATTCCGCCTCTTCGTGATTCCGCGAGGCGTGCAAGATGAAATCCTTTGTGTGATTTGTCTGCAGAGGCACTAATGAGTCTCTCGATGGAAAAGCGACAAAAAGGGCTCCGAGGGGGTGTCTGCTGGGTTTCCTCCTGAAGAAATACGATTGGTGTTGAAATATTGGCTGAGACCCGATCGTATCAAGTTTGGAAGGGTAACACCCCAGATTACCCCTATTCTTCGGAAGTTTGTCAAGATTTTGATTGAAATTTCAATCGAAATCTGGTCGACTTCTGAAGATAAGGCAGCACAGGGGTAAATTGTGCCAATTTCTCGAGAATCTGGGTTACGGGAAGTTAGAGAAGTGACCTCTCCTTGGGCATACTGGTATCGAAAGGCAGTAAGGTGACTGAATGGTAGCTAGCTGGCCCACTTATAATAATGCACCATGCACTTCTCTTCTCTGCTGAATCAGAGAGGCGCTCACATGGAAGAATTGAATTTTCGGCGCTGACCTGGATCCTCCCAAGTGTAAGTCGGTCTTTTACCCTCCAAACAGCCCTGGTAACAGTTAGGCGACGCCGAGGCAGAGGATTGGATAGCCCAGATGGAGCCCAGTTCAGCATAATTAGCCCTCCCGCTGCAAACTAATCTCCACCCTAATAAGTTTACTGTAATGTGCTGAAAATTTACATAATGGGACTAGATGACGTCGCATTTGTGGCACATCCAGTAAGCAGTCCACACATTCCACGAAGATCGACTTTCATGTAAGCGGGGAATCACACGAGCTTCATTCAGCTGCCTTGTTGATCAGGGCTACGATTGCGGCGACGGGGGGGCGGAGGGGGGGGGGGGCTGGGGGGAGGGGGGAGGGGAGGGAGGGTGGCAATTTATGCACTCTCGCAACTATTCACCGCACTTACCGTTTCTGCAGGTCCTCTCTCTTTCTCTTTCTCTCTCTCTCTCTCTCTCTCTCTCTCTCTCTCTCTCTCTCTCTCTTGCAGAACCTGTAAACTCTTGTGAAGCTAGAGCAAGCTCGTCGAGCGGTCATGGTAAAACCTGTCAAATCTTGTAAGCTCACGAAATGGCTTTAGATGGTTCTCTGTCGATGAGAAGTAGCAAAAGCCCCCCCCTCCCCCCCCCCCACCGAAGTGACCCTGAATCAAGTTAAAGTGTGTTACAACGCCTCTTGCCACTGCACAACCCTCACCTCCCATCTACGTTTCCATTATTGCTACCCCTAACAATAATAATAAATTTTTATGTTCTAGCGGGGATGGTGTAATGACAAATGCCTTCGCGAGTGTCTAAGGGTGAAATCTAGGATCAGCTTTGACCCTTGTTTCTCAAGGGTTCCATCCATCTAGAAAATTTAGAAAAATTTGGAAAATCAATACCAGGCTTCCTATTCTGCCTCAGTGATTAGCTCCGAGGAACAGAATAGCTATGGTTCGTCTGAGGAAGAAGCGACTGAATAATGCATCGCCTGATCCACTTGTTGTGGGCTAGAAGTTGGGCCAAATGTTGTTATTGGAGCCTTGGGCTCAATGTTGTTGGGCTAAATCGTCTTCATACGGTCACTAAGATCCCAACCGGAAGTGGAATGCGTGACGTACTTCAAAAGGAATTGATCAACACCAGACGACTTCCCCTTTTTATTTACTAGTATCCAGGTGTTATAGTGATTAATTAAATAGTAACGTGAAGCAAACTGCTCAATAAAATGTAAGGCGCTATTTGGTTTGGAAGGGGCATTTTCCACTTTCGCTAGTTCCTTTTGCTAGTTCATGTTACTTAACAGGTTACGATTTGATGGGGCCTGTGAACTCCTTCGAAGTTGCCAAATGGTGCAATCGGCAGCTGTTGTTACAGGAATTTGCAGGTCTTCACAAGATGGCCTGAACTAGTTTTGCCCAGTACCTTTAGGTACCACCTCCAAGCCGAACTGCGCCAAATATAATCGATTTCTACTTTTCTGGTATTGACATTAAGTTTCCTTTCATCTATCTTCCCATTAACCACTTTGTGAGATTCTTTGAGTAACAAAATTTCGCTAATCTTTTTTTTAGTAATTCTATTAGCTGCTATTTGATATTTTAGTTTTTCGCAAGGCATTTTGGTTAGCAATTCCATATAAAAATTGATTTTGACAGCAGCATGGAAATTGCAGACTTTTACGGCTGACCTGTTCAGATTCCTTTTGACAATTAATTTCCACTTCTCTCATGTGATGATGTCAAAAGAAATTACCGTTACTTAGGCAACCCAGCAAATCAATAGAATTCTTGAAACCTAGGGCTATAAATACTGGGGTGGAAAGTCATATGATCGTAGAATTAATCATCAGGAAATGAGTTATGGAACAATTAAGCCAGATGACCCTCAAGCGTCAGCACTGGCGAAATTCGCTCGCCACTTTCGGCTGAAAAGCTATAGGGCGAGAAGGGGGAGGGGGGTTCTCGGGAAAACTTTTATTGATAAAGATGGAAGAATCCTTTTTTGCAGTTCTGGCAAGACATGATTTTGCCTCGGCAGAGGCCGAACATACGGATTCTCGTAGTACAGGTATGAGCCTACATTTTCAGCCACTCGTCTACGGTCTCAGAGGATGGCGGGAGAGAAGGCGGGGAGGGGAGTGGTGTGCCCAGCTTAGCCGTAATGAACTACACGGGGAGGTGGGTCCGGCTGACTGTTTACCCTTTCAGCACTTTGCGAAACAAGTAAGAGAAGAATGATGTAATAAATAGTAGATGAAAATCGAATTTCCATAATTTTCTACGGAGACAGGTGGAAACGAGACAGGACATCCTCCTTGCGGCGACACACACGAGAAAACAGATTCGCGTAAGAAGAAGTAGTAGCCAGTCGATCCACAAGGGACCCCCTACAGGGTCATTCGCAAACGACTGGGGGCACGTCTCACCGTTGGAAGAAAATTAAACGAAAAAGAAGACCCTCTCAATTCCCTCGTCTGGTACGACTCTCTCCCCTTTTTTTCCACAACGCTCATCCTACCTGCCATCCTCCTGAATTTTTCCAGCTCCCTACCACTGTGCCGGAGCTTTTCCCCGATATTACTGCAGTTTCCAAGAAACTGCAGTTCCAGAATAGTCCATGTTCGACTTTCTTGCAAGCTTGGCATGTATATCGTTCTTGTATTTCTTCTAGCCTTTCCAAGATTGAGCAACTTTATTGAAGGCCTACGTTTTCGGTGTCTTCGCCTTCGTCAGAGCCTGAAACGGTCAAAAAAATCATTTCGTCACTTGGCTCGCTCAACACATTTCAACAATAACTCAAGACGATTTCCACAAAAAAAAAAAAAAAAAAACTACCAGTAAATCACCCAACGGTATCGATCTAGGGCGGAACGCTGGCTTACCTTGATCTTGGACGCGTGACGCGGGGACGACCACCCTGTAGAGGCTCAAGCGTGGATAAGTATTACTAAGTAACCTCCTCAGACCTCGCTAGTCACTTTCAGAGGTTGAGAAAGGCTGCAAGTTGCAAACTGCAGTTCAGCGGGGTGGGGGAACGGGTGACGGGGCGGGAAGAATACATAGTGCGCATGATGGGGAAATACAGAGAAAAGTCAGCAACCAGAAACATGCTCTGCGAAGCGAAACCCGCTTCCCCCCCCCCCTTTCCTCCAGTAACCGAATACGACCTTCCTCGCAGAGAATCTCTAGCCTCCGACATGCAACGAAAGGGATGTATACCGATCTACGCGTCCTGAGACGCTGAATTCGCCCCACGAAGTTCCAGAGCGAGCCTAGAAAACAAGGACGATGCAAATTCCGCTCTCCACCCGCAGTCCCGGCCATAGTGACACTGCTGCATAGGGCGCGCAGTGGGAATGTTTAGTGCAATCAGTGCAACTGACGCGTTTGATTTTCCGCCCAATTTTGGGTTACTGTATAGGCCTGCTGTCCTAAACTTATAATTATGAGAAATGAGAAAAGGCAAAGGTTTTCAGTAACATAGTGGGATTCACACTCAGCTGATGATAGTTGTGACTGACGATTGACATGAACGTATTTGCAAAAAATACTAGCTTGTCATTATCATTATTAGTTAGTCATT